TATGTGAGAATAGTTTAAACACAGGTATTTTAACAGGCATTATTACTATTCTTCAAATTTAATGAAAGATAAAGGTATATTAAATATGGCCTTAGAAGGTTATCTTTTCTCAATTTTCACACCTGTGGACACTAGTAGAAGTAAGTCACACACAGAAAGAGAAATGTTCATACATAGCTCATATAAATGACAGAGATAGAGTGGGGGGGAGGGAAGACAGAGAAGAAGAGGGGGGTAGAGGGGAAGAGGAAGGGAGGGAGGGAAAGAGGGGGGAGGGGGAGGGAAAGAAGGAGAGGGAGGGGAAAGAAAACAGCAGGGAGGGTGAATGCAAAGGATGAGTTATAGCCATCTCGCCTTCTACGACCCCCATCCCTGTTATGTATCAGTTATTACATACCATGCTAATCCCTTTCCTTGGTATCTACAGTTACTCAAAACCCTCATTCAAATATCTTCATCTTATCTGGGCACTTGAAATGCTCGCTAATTCAAAATACCTCTTTGAAAAGTACATCACATATAAAAGCTGTTGTTTTGAAAATATGACTGTAGTGAACTTAGGTTCATTTCTATAATTGCAAATAACTTCTTTGAGTCCTACGCAGTTGCTTAGCCTCCTTTCATTTGACAGAACACCACAAATTCAAATTTGAAATATTGCAAATAAAAAAATAAATTACAATATTTTATAACTTCTTCTGTTAGTGTTTATCGTGTGTTTAAAAATTTATATCGCTCCAATTGATGCTCCATTCTTCCAATTCCTGCCTGTAGATTTGATCAAGTATATTTTTTGAAACATTTATTATTTTGCACTCCAAATTTCCCCATAGACTTTATCATGTACTCTTATTTATGGAGAGGGGGAAAAAAACAGGAGTGAGGGAGAGCGTTGAGTCTGTGTTTACAAAACGTAACAATGTATGAAACAGACTCGTTCTTATAGATGTAGATCATACCTGAGCTTTGCTATGGGAGGGCCAGTTGTGTTCAGAGACTCAGACAATTTTCTGCTTCAGCGATTCACTCAAAAGATCCACAAGACCCAGCTAACCTGTGAGGCTAATTCTTTGTTGTTTCTTTGATATATTACGGCAAAGACACACGAAGTCAAACCAAGAAAGGGATAACACATAGATAAAGTAGAGAGAATATCAGGTTCACACTTACCAGGCTTCCTTTCCTTTCAATGGAGTCACACTAAGTGTTTTGTATTGGTGAAATTATTAAGGCCACTCCACGTAGTTAAAAGGAAGATTTATTTAGTGGGTGACTTACAAATGAAGGAATAGGTAGATTGCGGGGGTCTGGGGAAGGTGCATCGCAGTCCAGCGGTGTTCTCTGGAGCTCTGCTCAGTCAACCTCCACTGTCTAGGGTCCAGGAACGGAGAGAGCGCTCGCCCATCCAGGTCTCAGGTCTCCAGACGCCTCCCTTGGCCCCGCCTCATAGGCGTGACAGTTGCCAGAGTCTCAATGGGGGTTGGAACTTCCAGATCCAAGCTGGAATGGCTACCCACTACATCTCCCCCTTTTTTTCTAAATAAGAAGGTTCTAAACTAGTACAAGACTATATACAAAGGAATGGTTATCAAATATTGTCCAGGAATAATGAGGGATAATGACCTAGATAAGATGGAACTACAACCAATGCAAACAATATCAAGCAAGAAACACATACTAAAATCCAGAGAAGTATAGAGCATAGGTAAATGGCATGTTATAAAGATCATTCCAAAAGGTGTCCTATCTTAAAGAACCTGAATCTAATACTTAATATGTTCTATCTAAGATATTATATATACTAAGTTGTAACTATAACTGCTAGTCTTCAATCCCATCAAAGACCTGAGAAGGAACATAATGGTACCTGAGAAATGGAAGAGTCATGAAGAGTTGTCTACCAGGAAGCTGATTAGAGGGTTGGTATTGAGTGCTTTTTATTAGTGAGCTTGTCTCAAAGGCAGTTTTTGCAGGTGTGTACCACTGAGTGTGTACCAAAACATCAGATTCCCCAAACGAAAAGTAAATATCATATTTGTAAAAGGTGGTAAATGTCACACAAACACACACACATTTGCACAGACTAGTCTGATTTAGCTATCCTGTTACTAATCACTAATTATGGAATACTACTGTGCATCTATCATTTGCCATAAATTACAAATTAAATGGTGATTCACAGCTTCAGTTCAATTTTATAATTGTTCAATTTAGGCAAAGATACTTAGGAATATAGTAATGAATTACAATGAATTTGTCCATAAGTTAGTTATTCAGTCACCACACAGAAAAATGGAATACACAATAGAAGAGCTAGATTAGTTTTAAGATTCTAGCATGTTTTGCTTATTATTTTATTCTTTATGTAAGTCAGTTGGCTTTATCCCAAGAGCTTGAGTAATGATGTCTTGAACTCAATCCAATTAAGCTGAATTAAACTGAGTCAGTTAACTAATTTTGAGAAAAGAAATAGGAATAATCCTTTATGAATCATCTACACCTGAGTTTAATAATAATAACCAATTTATTCTGTTTTTCCTTCCTTTTCACTCAAAATTATTTTAATTTTGCTATATGCCTTCCAAAAATGATGATTTATTCTATATAATAAGATCATATTATGTATTATGTAATATGTAATTTTTTTTGTTCTTATCACATCTTCAAGGGACTTTACCATAATAGAAACACAATGGTGGTTTTCACTTGTCTTAATCGTTTTTTCCTTTATTCTTGTTTCCCAGCCCCATAGTTTTGGAATATTTGCATTCTGTTAAGTCTTTTAAAAATGTTTTCTTGTCTGCTACTTTAAATATAAGATTTTATCTTTTTTTAGTTATCTTTTTTGAAATCTACATTGTGACTAATTATATTGAATGAATTTAATTTCAATTGCATGAAAGAATGTGGGCATAATGATAACTGAACTGCAGTATGTGTTAACTTTATCCACATAAATATTTTCAAATGCAGCATGATCAGATTTAGCAAAAATTGAAATTGTACTACAAGTTAAAAGTTTATTTTTCTAGATCCAATTTTGGCTGGCAATTCTGACCTAATGTTGTATTTTATTTCCCTTAAGCAGTATTCCTAGTATCAGGTGAAACATAATTTTAAGTTATGGAAGAGATGTCAAAGGAAATAGTTTCTGCATCGGCAGATTGTGGGAAATGGACTTTCATCACATCTGAGTTTACTTATTAAGTTTCATTAGTGTTTTGAGAGACAGAAATACTGACCACTAAAGTAAAACACAATGCTTTAATACTCAGAACTTACATTTTATAATACTTAAGATAGCTTCCCTGCACTCAATTAGATGTGCATGATTTTAGCGATCTTAATAATTCACCAGTTGTTTTTTTTTGTTTTGTTTGTTTGTTTGTTTTTTACTTGCATGTACATCTACCCAAATGCACTGGAAAAGATATGTTAAATAAATGGTGTAAGTTATTCCTGAAGCTCCTTCCCTCTGAGTCCCAGACTCAGACCTGATTGTTCTCTTTGCCAGGGAGGTAGGATTACCTCCTACCAAGGGCAGCTGGAGGAAGCTGCACTCATTCTGTAAGCTTCCATGCTGCTGCTTACGTGCTGTTAACAGAATGGGTCACACAAAGAACTTTTGGGCAAAGTCAGGATTCATTTTTACACAGTGTGTAAAATGTGTAAATTGATGTGTGAGTGACTGTTCATGGTCATGCAAATCATGGAATGTGTGATGCAAAACCCAAGCATGTGTAGCATGACAGCTATACCAGTGGTGGTGTGGTTGGCATGGACCAGCAACAATCAAAATCTTAAAAGAAGGAAGTATGGGCTTGGAAGACAGCTTAGAGGTGCCATGCATTGGTGGCTCAAGCCTTTAATCACAGCACTTGGGAGGCAGAGCCAGGCTGATCTCTGTGAGTTTGAGGCCAGCCTGGTCTACAGAGCAAGATCCAGGACAGACTCCAAAACTACACAGAGGAACCCTGTCTCAAATAAATGATAGCTCAGAGGAAATTCCAGCCCCCAGGAACCTGAATCTCTGAGTGCAACAGCACTGACATGCATATATCCATGCATGCATTGTGTCCATGTGCGTGTATGCACACACACACACACACACACACACACACACACACATGCACACACATACATGCATGCACTGCACACACACAATTTTAAGAATACTATCTTTAAAAAGTAAGAATCAATAAAATATGGTATTAAAGAAAAGCCATATTTGTGTGTAATTCACAACTTGAACTCTGGTTAATGGCATATACATACACATACATTATTTCAGAAATATAGACTAAAGCTGTGTATAATACCCAGATCTTTTGTAACAAAAATTTGCCATCATTCTAGAGATGTTTGAGGCTTGTTTGGCTGTGTTCCACTGAAAGCTTTTGCATTACATTTGATTGGTGTCAGTCTTAAAAACTATACATGTTAAATGTTTCCAATTTATTTTCATGTGTTTTTATAACATGGTTAAAAAAAAAACTGAAAGGGACTGGAGCGTTAGGCTCAGCAGTTAAGAGCACTTACTGGTCTTGCAGAGACCTGGGTTGGTTCCTCCAGCACCCACATTTAATGGCACTAGCTCTAAGGAATCTGATTGCCTCTTATGGCCTTCACACACACACACACACACACACACACACACACACACACACACACTACACAAATACTAAAATAAAATCAATCCTTATAATGTAAATAAAAATCCCTCATCAGCTGGAAACAGTCATGCTTTCTTCTAGTCCCAGATAATCAGGCCTTTGGGAAGGAAAGATCACCCTAGTCCAAGAATTTGAGACTTCCATCTCAAAAAAAAAGTAATGCAAAACAAAAGTGAAAAACAAATCAGTCTGTGTGAACTGTTGGAGCCCTAATTATATTACATGCAAACCAATGTATCTTGATCGCTAAACTTCACTTTCTCAGCATTCAGAACAAAGAGATAGTAAGGATAAAACCGTATTGTGTCAATCACTTGTCTGCCTCAGGTCCCGTCAGCAGTATCCTGGTGAATAACTACGGCAGCCGGCCAGTGGTGATAGTTGGAGGGTTGTTATGCTGTACCGGAATGATCTTGGCTTCCTTCAGTAACAGCGTGATACAACTTTATCTCACAGTTGGCTTTATCGGAGGTAAGTCAGGTTCTCTTCTCATCGGGACAGTTTGAAAAGGATGAGGAAGATACAAATTCTTCATGGTTTGTTTCAGTTTGTTTTTAGAAAACAAGTCTATTCTGGGGTCTTTTTATCTGATGCATTAAAATACTGCTTACAGTAGGGCTACACGTTTCATTTTTAAGACGTGGTTTTTAAAGGTTATCATTTGGCCACGTGTCATCCTACAGATATGGGAACAGGAGAAGCCTTGGTTTGTTTTTGACTTGGTCACTTTTTAATTGTTGAGTCTTGTGAATACCTTCTAGTACAACGCCTTCACTTATAAAACGCATTTTTATTCCGGCCTAGAGTATTTGACTTACCACTAATGATAAGTTAAAAATGCTGTCAAACACATATTTGGGGATAGCGATGATTTAACACCCACGGTAAAATTACTACCAGCTCTGCTTTGATGAGTGACAGAGAGAGCTCGTTAGTCTCTAATCTAGGTTTCCCTTCCTGAAATGACCTGCTTATGAGCACTCACACAGACCCGGCATCTGACATGGCTGTGCCTCATGAGAGAGTCCTTTTCACTAACCCGACCTAAACTGTATATTTGAAGAGCACCACTTTTATTTTCCTTGTCAATAAATTTTATTTAAAAATCTACATTCCATGTTTAAAAAAAAATGGCCAATAAGGCTAAATTAACATTCTTGTCTCGTTTTTTGAGTTGAGATCCATCTCAATTTATACATGTAAACCATTTGTTGAAGAGAACAGGTAGGTTTTACAGGCTACTGTGCAGCAGACATCCAAGTTCAAGCTTATAAAACCAGCACTAGGAAAACTGAGGCAAGAGAGTCTGAGTCCAATGTTAGTTTGAGCTGTACAGTGAGTTCTGGACCCACCTGGGCTACATACTGAGAAGAATAAAAACAAAGATCTACAATAATAATGATAATAAATGTCTGTATTGGTAACCACTCTGTGTCACTCTGACTTTTTATACAGCAAAACACTTTTTTTTGATTGTTTAAACATCAAATCTAAGTACTACATACTGGAGCTAAGCATTGCTGTTGTGGAGAGAGTATCTGTGTTTCCTTTATAAACACATCCTGACTATCTTCTGTCTCACCAGAGAAGAGAAAGAGGCTAGAGTACAGGGGCCATGGTTTTGATGTTCCTATACTAGAAAATTCCTATACAGTAACATCATTGCTATTCCAACACAATTTCGTGTGTTTGGGTCTTGGTGACACTGCTGTCTCTAGAATGAACCAGTGTATATCACTTACCTTGACATAACATCTAAAGGCAAAAAGTCCTCCTCTTTGTTCAGGGAGAAAATGAATAAAGATAAAAGAAAACCAATACGTAGGTTTTTAATTCAGCTTCCTCTGCTTACAAGCTACCTGCCCATAAACTGATGAGCATCGGTCTAATGATTCCCAGTCTGCATATCTCAGTGGTGTGTTTAAGGGAACGCATGAGGAGTTGCAGCCTGTTTTCCCTAAATTGTAGCTTTGGTTTCTTCCATGGCTTTTAGAGAACTTATTTCAGAAAAATGTCATCAAGGGTTGGAGTATTTGTACTTAGTGTTGCATATCCCAGAAGTTGAGTACTTAAACACTAAGCAACATGGCTTCAATTCATCCAAATTAGCAGGCTAAAGAATTTTTACCTTAATAGTCCTTTACATATAGAATAGTACCAACGCTATTGTAGGAAAAGAGATAGTTTACATAAATCAGTTTATATGCTTTTCAAAGAACTGGTCATCTATACTGCTGAATAGTATCGTGTCTGGGTGATCTGCAAGAAGTAATTTGTCTCTCAAAGGTGGAACTAGCACTGTTAAGCATATTATGGTGGGAACTTGGCCCCAAAGAATCAACTAAAACTCCCTAAAATAAAATATATTCCAAAATTTTTTACTCAGCCCATTTGTGGATCTCTAGATACTAAATTTAGAATGTGATTGATGTGGAATGAAATAATGGAATAAACTTATTTCTCTGTTTTATTATTACATGGTGTTGAAAGGAATATTTATGAGAAGATAGAAGATTGTTAAAAATTGTGACTTTTTTAGTCTGTCCATAATTTTACTGCAATAGCAGAGTACCCTCATTTTTAAATCTCACTAGAAACAAATCTAGCCTATTTGTTTGCATAGAAGTATGCATGAGAAGGAAGGGGTTAATTTATCTGTGGGATTATATTATTCTGATTAAGAATTCATAATTTTATATGAATTGTTATAGCCTATTTTATGGTATTTCTTTCATACCTCAGTAGTTCCCAGTCTTATTTCTGGCTTTAAAACAAAGGACTCTGAAAACATTCTTAATGTTTAGTTATGAAAACCAATTTAGTTTTTTTTGTTCAATTATATTTCCATTTGTAATCCTCAAAGATTGGGATTCACGGCTGCATGTCTGATTGCCTTATTCTCCATAGTGAACGTTTTGAGGAATTTATTTGGTGAGTGATATAATGCGTTTGTATTATCTATTGTTTTTGGTTTTGTGTTTCAGGTTTAGGATTAGCGTTCAACCTGCAACCAGCCTTAACAATAATCGGAAAGTACTTCTACAGGAGGCGCCCCATGGCGAATGGCTTGGCCATGGCTGGAAGTCCTGTTTTCTTAAGCACACTGGCCCCTTTCAATCAGTACCTATTTAACAATTATGGCTGGAAGGGAAGCTTCCTGATTTTGGGAGGCATATTTTTGCACTCCTGTGTGGCTGGGGCCCTCATGAGACCGGTCCAGAAAACCCCACGTAAGTCGAAGTCTAAAAGTAAGGTTGGTTCAAGACATGATGCAAATATGAAGAAAGTCAGCAAGATGTCAACAGCAGAACAGATTAATAGGTTTTTAGATTTCAGCCTTTTTAAGCATAGAGGATTTTTGATCTACCTATCTGGAAATGTCATTATGTTTCTAGGGTTTTTTGCCCCTATTATATTCTTGGCTCCATATGCTAAAGACAAAGGAGTGGACGAATATAACTCAGCTTTATTGTTGTCTGTGATGGCTTTTGTTGATATGTTTGCTCGACCTTGTGGAGGATTAATAGCCAACTCCAGGTTAATCCGCCCACGAATCCAGTATTTCTTCAGCTTTGCGATCGTGTTCACTGGCATAGTCCATCTCCTCTGCCCCCTGGCAGATACCTACGCAGCCTTGGTGGTCTACGCTATATTCTTTGGCTATGGATTTGGAAGTGTTAGCAGTGTTCTCTTTGAAACTCTCATGGACCTGGTTGGACCTGCCAGATTTTCCAGTGCTGTGGGACTCGCCACAATTGTGGAATGTTGTCCTGTTCTTCTCGGCCCTCCTCTTGCTGGTAAGCATATTTCTCATCAAGGATAGCAAAATGAATAGCATAAATATATATGAAGAAGTATGTTCTTTGCACTGATTAATATGCTTTGAATAATTCTAGTTGCATAAAAGACAGGAGGGATTTTACACTTGAAATTGTCATAATTGGTTGTTGTAACCCAAAATTTAGAACCCTGGACTTAACAAAAGTCATGAACTTAAATTAGATTGATGGTTAGTATAACTTTAGGATTTTTATATACATCAATTATTTTATGACTTTTTAAGGCTCTATCACAAGCTATTTTTGCTGAACAGAGTCATGTTTCACACAAAAGTAAGCAGAAATATAAAATAATATCCTATAAGGATTAGAATCTGTATTTTTATGAGAATACATTAGCTATGTTGATTTTGAGTTTTTACCTAAGGTATACTTTCATATCATTGACACAGAATATGCAAGAATGAAGGAAAATGCATTCAAGTTCAGTTTTTTGAGTAAATAATATCTGTTACATATTCATAAGTGACAAAGATGACATGTAGACATTTAAGATGTTCAATGGTTTCTAAGTTGGCTATAGAAGTGTCTATTCTAAAATTCTGCTGAAGGAATCAAGTACATGTAGGTACCACCATGTCAAGAGGTTGAGAAAAAGGCTTGATATTTGTCTTTTTATGAAAGAAAGAAAGAAAAGAAAGAGAGAAAGAAAAAAAGAAAAGAAAGAAAGAAACATAGCCCAGTGGTGGTAGTGTACACCTTTAATCCCAGCACTCAGGAGGCAGAGGCAGGAGGATCTCTAAGTTCAAGGACATCCTGGTCTACAGACTGAGTTCTAGGAGAGCCAGGGCTACATAGAGAAATGCCGTCTTGAAAATAAACCAAAAAGAAAAAAAAGAGAAAAAGAGAGAGGAAGGGAGGGAGGAATGGAGGGAGGGAAGAAGGGAAGGAGGGAGAAAGGAATGAAGGAAGACTGAAAGAGAGAGAGAGGGAGAGAAAAAAGGACAGAGAAGACAAAGGGTAAGAAAAGGGATAAAATCCTTATTATAAAAATATTATGTTTTGTTGATTTTCCTATGGATTGTTTTGTGGCTTCCTTTTGAAATATGTTTGAGAGTACTCCTGGAAGGAAACTATGATAGACAGTTGTGCAATTTAAACTTAAAATATAAAGGCAAATGGCAAATGCATTACATGCATGATTTAATTTAAAATCTTCTTTAGTGTTAGATTTTAAATGTTTTTGATGATGGTGATGGTGGTGACACTAATGGTTATTTGTGGTATAATCTCTAACAGTCCTAGTATATGCATAATGAATACTGAGCTCATTCATTTAGGTTCTTGGTCTGCCTGCCTGCCTGGTGCTCAGAGCCATGCTGATAAAATTTTTCACACATCTTTAGTCAGTTGTTAAACTGTTTTCTTTAGAACATGAAGCTCCTGTGAAGATGGGAAATTCATTATCAATTTTTTTCAGTCTTAATGCTATCACTGAAATTCCATCTTCCACTTTTTCCTGATTAGAAAGAGATCCAAGTCATTGTCAGACCTTAGTGGTGTGGCTGGCACCTCCATTAGTAAGAAGCATGAATGTCTTAGATGGTAGGGCTTTCAATGCAATGCCACATTGTCAACAACACAGTTGTGAAAAGAGCGATGATCATTAGGTCTTAGTTTTATCAATCGGCTTATTTTATTGCATAAAAAAATTGCACAGCATGCCTAACTTTCCATGCTTACAGAATCAATTTCATGAATCTTGGAGCGTATGAGTTAGCGATAATAATCTATAAATAGGAAAAAGTTATGTGTGACTATCATTGACAGAATTAAAATAAATGTTAAATCAAGCAAAAGAGACACTAAGTGAGCTCTAGGGATTGAAATCAAAGAGACGAATTTGGCCACTCCTGCCTCTGCTGAGAAACTCCATGAACTAAATAACATCACTATTATTCTTACATGAAATTAATTATTGCATACATATCATATGCCATACTACACCTTTTGGAGGGCAGTGAAAAATAGGGAGTGTGTGGCATTTTGTCTATCTATTTGATGAACTATTTCATTACTCTACAAACAGCCGGTGGTTTGTTTCCCTGGAAAGCACACCTTATTTCTTGATGCTCAACTTGTTCAAACTTTTAAAAAATATGCTAAGGTGGCAGTCCAAAGTGATATTTGTTGATGAGGCCACGGCCGCTATATTTGTATGTTTATAAGTATACTAACCACTGCACTAACAGACCCCTTTCACAGAAGTTGAGGAAGAAACCATGAATGCGTAATGCTTACTAAGATAAACCCACTGAACCCTGATTGGTGCATTACAATTGTTTCTAATTAAACCAGAGAAATTTTCTCAAATGGGTAAATATTTCAAGTAGCTCAATTTTACGCTAACTATATTGTAGTCAAATCGCCAGAGACTCTGACTAAACTGATGCACTTGAAAGTCTACATCACAGTTACCTGGGGTAGAAGTAATAAGTAATGAGAATCCTCGACATTAAAGTTTGTCCTTAGGAGTTATTAAGAATGTAATGCTTTCATGAGAAAAAAGGAAAACTAAGTGTGAGCTGGGAAAAAAAGGTGCTGTAAAGTCAGCTAACCTTCAGCTTTAGTGGCAATAGTTCTAATCAAATGGAACCAAATAGATTCTTCCAGGCTAGTTTACAGATTCAATAAAACCAGGAAGGTGTTTGACCTCCAAAGTGGCATAACACCTGTGGAAAAGTTTGAGTAAGAACATCCTGCACCCTGGTTAAGAGGGTGAGCTATGATGGTCCTCTTTTAAAAGTCCACAGTCTGGGGAGTAGAAAGATGGCCCAACAGTTAAAAGTACTTGCTGCTCTTCCAGAGGACCAGAATTCAGTTCCCAGCACCCACCTTAGGGAGCTCACAATGGCCTGTAACTCCCTCTCTATGGGAGCCATCTCTCTCTTCTGGCTTCAAAGGGATACACACAAATGCATGTGCATAAACACACACACACACACACACACACACACACACACACACACACACACAGAAACACACACACACAGAAACACATACACATATATGAAAGATAAGTTTTAAAGAAAGGAAAGAAAGCAACCAGGCCTTATTTTGATAACTATAGCAATGAATTTTTTTTTTTTTAAAGAGTATAGTCCACAGGGGCATTGGCCATGTAATCATGGTCAGATTGGTTCCTAGTCCTGATAAGGGAGATTAGCACAGATAAATGATCAGCCATTAGTGAACCACACACAAGGCCATTGGGTCTTCCAAAATAATGTACAATTTTCATTATAAAAGTAACAAAGAAACATGGGAAAAATGAAGTGATCTCAAAGTGTCTGATGGAAAGTAGTAGTTAAATATATATGAAGCCACATGCCTGTATAAAAAAAATACATGTCTCCTATTCCTATTTATCAATATACAAACTCATGTGTGCCTAATTTATCTTGATGATACATTTTCTTGGCAGAAATAGTTTTCAATACATGTGATGTGCTGGTAAGGCAATTCTGTGGATAATTGTTCACACCTTTATTGAGCATCATCTACAGTATTTTCTGTGTTGGAGTGGGATTTGATGCTAGTTTAAATAAGAGAAGTACAGTTTGTCTGAGGAGTTTCTTGCCGTTGTATTGTCATTTTATCGGGCTCCCTTAAAGGAGGTTCTTTTATCTCGTAGGTAAATTGGTCGATAAAACCAAAGACTACAAATACATGTATATAGCCAGTGGGGCAATCGTGGTACTGTCGGGCATCTGGCTCTTCATCGGCAACGCCATAAACTATAGACTTCTTGCTAAGGAGAAGAAGAGAGAAAAAGCAAGGAAGAAGAAGTCCACCACCTACCCGTCCAGAGAGTCGGAGGCTTTGAGCAAGTCGAAAGAGGATGCTGTGGCTGTCCAAGTTTCAACCGCAAACACTCCTCCCTCAGACAGAGAAAGGGAAAGTAATATTTAACACGAGTCTCGTCTCAAATCAGTGTTGATGAATTTACTGATGAGTTTCTTTGTGTCTTTCAAAGTGTTGGAAAAGATTTTAGCTAGAACAAAGGATCGCAGCAGACAATGATGAAACTGAGATTTTTGAGATCATGCATACAGAAATTCCATGCAGTGGCCTATTTGCATACCTGACTTGGGGAGTTGTCAGGAAAAAGAAGAATTTTTAAATCTTTCACTGACGTTTACTTTTAACTGTAGGATGAAATCTGCACCCCAGGCTCCTGGCTTACTTTAGCATATGTTGAATTCTATACAACGTCTCTCTTCAAAGTTCATTTTTTTTATTTGACATTGTTATGAAGTAAATTGGGGACAATTATATCTCTTTTCACACACAAAGAATCACATATATATCCACACAAACACTGAGCATCTGGAGACCATAAAGAAATAAATGAATTTGAAAAAAAAATATTATTATAGTCATTTTTAAGTAAAAGAAAAAACTTGAGGGAGACAATGGCAATGTGTTTTATTTCCATGCAGTTTTACAGTATGGATTAAAATAACAGTATATGTTGAAAATCAAGATGCTAATAACTCAAAAAAGTAAGTAACTTCTACAACAAGAAAGAAGAAATGTTTGTAAAGTAAGTTTGGCTAAAAAAAAAAAAAGACCCCTTTGCACAATTACTTCTGTACACTCATGCTTAATCCGTGCATACAGTTTCTTTAAAAGGTTGTGATTAGTGCCTAGTGCTAGATAAGAGAATAACTCCCCAAGTAATTTCTCAAATTCTTAGCTAATACATGAGTTGAATGAAAATCTTAATGACATTGAACAATCAGTTGAATTCTACTGATTTAAAAAGCATCTTAACTCATAATGTACAACTTAATGGTGACTCTTTTTAACCAGGGCTCAATTCAGATTCAATGTTGTGCTGCAATATCCAAGCCAAATAAACTAGAATCCTAACTGACACTTTCATGTAGACCAGGTTCTATTTTTTTCCCAACCAAAGTAGTGATACAAGCTCAGTCTTATGAATAATTCATAGGCAGACAGCTGACAAGAGTAGGGGGGCCATTATTGAGCCCACTAATATCTTCTAATTCTTTACTAAAGTTAAGCAAAAGCAAAAACCAGAAACACCTAGGACTTGAATTCAGTCCTTGAAGATCTCTCATGGTAGAATAGAGGGTGAGGAAGCACTTGAAAATTCTGCCCTCTACTGATTTAAACTACCTGCTGCCTAAGCAGAGAACCAGGAAATTGGGGTGTGGGGGTGGGGGCGACACGTCTAGAAGTACAAGCTGTGGGGACTTGTAGGTATATAGTTTATAACACAGTGATGACATGTGGAAGGATTGTTGCTCAGGTTAATTTAGCATGTTCTCATTTTCCTACATAAAAGTACCTGGGATTCAGAATCATTCTTAAGACACTTTGGCAGATCTGTGATTTCATTACATATAAATATCAACTGAAATTAAATATTCATGTATGTCTCTTTTAATTTTATGATGACTAGAGAGAACTCAGTGATCTATTACTAAGTGATGCCACTCTAACAATGTCCTTGTCTTTCATTCTTTGCAGTAGAGGTGGGTGCTACTCTTACTCCTTATGAGACTCTACCTAGACCCTGTACTTTTACTACATTGACATTAAAGGTTTGACTCTGTCATAAAATGTATACACTGCTTCAAACATGTGGTTCATATGTTCACATTTAGGGATTTTGTGTTCCTTCATTTAACGTTTGCTTTTTTGAATATGGAAATATTTCCAACTTTCAGTTATTTAATAAAAACAAGATGTGCCAATATCCTAGGGAAATGAATCAGGACAACATGTGACACCATATGACTTACAATGTCTTTTCTTTCTCCTTCCTTCCTTCCTTCCTTCCTTCCTTCCTTCCTTCCTTCCTTCCTTCCTTCCTTCCTTCCTTCCTTCCCCTTCTTCCTTCTTCCTTCTTCCTTCTTCCTTCCTTCCTTTCTCTTTCTTTCTTTTTGCAGCATCTTTCCTTTAACTTGGTTCCACTACATCTTGAGTCAGCTCCTTTGACAGGATTATCCCTTTCATACTCACTTCTGTGGTCCTAAGTCATTCTAGTCCATCATAAACACTTCCAAAAAGAATGTCTTACACTCTTTGAAAATACCTTTTTAAACTAATATACATATCAGACAGCAGAAGGAGAGGAACAGTAAGGCAGTGACCATGGGATTTTCGGGCAAACCCATGTGCTCTGACTACCTGCTCACGGAGATGCAGTGGGTGGGCTCTAGTGCCTTTCTTTCTCCTTGGGAAGAGGTTTAGTTACGTCAATTGCTGGTGAATCAAATCAAAACCAAATTACATTTCCTTTGCTGCTTCTCAGTTGCCTTAATTCACTTCATTTCTAATGGTTATTGCATTGATTTTTTAATGGAGTGGAAGGATTGCAAAGCACATGACCTGGTATGTAGCATCATGCCAGAAACATGGCATTATAAGTATGTATATCTATCACAGACATGCTCTAAATTAAGCCATAACTCACCTGAATCAGTAACAAAACCATTGTAGAAATAAATCTACTTGCTTGCTCTTCCCAGTCCATTGCACCCATTGAAGCACTTGTTGCTTTAATTAAGTCTTTCAAAGACTGAGGAAAGACTATTGGCCCAAAGCTTTTGTTCCTACTGTCTGCAACTTTTAGGGCTGAATACATTCCTATCACAAAAGAACAACAAATTTTAGATGTTCAAGATAAGACTAAAGCCATATCATTAAAATCCCCACTAAAACCTAATTATCACAAAATTATGCAAAAGGAACTAGAGTACTCCTAATTTCTGATCATTAGCTGGTTTACATATTTTGCCATTTGCAAGTTGAACACTCCTCATTTATTGGTATTTAACCTTAACTATTTCTACATTGTCCATAGAGAGATAAATAGGTATGGATTTGTTCTTACCTGGTCTTCTCTCTAGATCCTTTTTTGAAGAGGCAATGGGCTAGGCAGTAATATGTATCACATTGAAGACATGATGTTTTCTCATTATAAATTCATGATTCGTAGAGCTCCCCTCTTTGGTCTGTGTTCTAACCACCTTCACTTCAATGGGCACATGCTCTACCTGGGTACCAGAAAATAAGTAAAACAATTCAATTTGGTATGTTCAAAATATTCTGTAAAGACGTAATTGTCTACTTACTTGCTTCCAGCCCTACAAGATGACAATCAAGAACATAGAAAAGTATAAATAGAATTTTATACAGATGTTATAAATAGCTGAAATCACATTTTATCCAAAGATACCTTATAAAGAATAAACATATATAGACTATTTCCAATCTTCAATAAAATAAATTATCCTAAATATTTGTCTTAATTTAATGGGAGAATACAAAGTGAAGAAGGAGCTAAGGGATTTGTGACATTTATGTTACCTACATAATGCCTTTTAATATTAAAACCAAAGCCATACTAGGAGTCATTACCTTGATATAATAAACACACACACACACACACACACACACACACACACACACACACACACATGTAAGCTCAGGAAATTACTCTAGAGTTAAAAATACTATATTGTCAAACCAAAATTTAAGTTTAGGTTTACCTAAAAGCAGAAAGAGTCCTCAGTGAATTCACTCAGTTTACAAATACAGTTAATAGTATCAAAAGCAAGTAAAAAGATAAATGCAAAAAAGCAAACTTTATAGGGAAATGAGACCTAACTGCAATCTGTATGATGATTTACTATAGATTCATTAGCAGCTGAATTTTCTATAAGGAAAACATAATTTCCAATTGTCTACTTCCCTTATCAAATTATCTCAAGTAAAGGTAATAATCATAATAGCTAAAAGTGCTTTAATGAAACATTTTCTCATATAAATGATGGCTTACTTACATGACATAGGTGTCATATATTTTCCCTGAAGATGGAGTAAAAGAAAATGTTCTTTATTACACATAAGCTATTCCTATATTTGTTCCAACCTGTGATGTAAACTGTAAAAATTACTGACTGCAGAACATTAACAATTGAATTTTAGTGATGATCCCATTTATAGGATTACCCCCAAGAACCAAGAAACACTTAGGACATTAGAGAGATTAAAGTAATTCAGTTCATTAATACAATGTCTACTGATTTTCATTATTTGCAAAAACATTTCCTAAATGGTTACTTTTCAACTTCCCCTGAGCAGGCTCCTTGTTCACTTGTCTCATGGGGAACATGACTATTTCTGCTTTTGTCATCTCTGGCTAGAGTGTTGAAGCTCTTATGCATCCCTCCTTGTTTGAGGAGATCAATCTTAATGGAGTTTTCCTCATGACGTCATCTGTGGATGATGTCATCCGTGGATGACATCATGTGTGGATGAACTCCTATGTGGAAGGCCTCAGCTGTGATGCAGAGGGTCTGATTCATTTGTGCAACATAAAAGTATGCCCACCCCCCCGAAGTACTACTTATACTTAACAACTACTCATCTTCACAAATAGGAAAAGCCCTCCTCCATCTAGGGTTGAGCATTTCTGAGATTGGAAAGGTGTTTGTGGCTTAGAAGACTTCTTTCAAGTGTGGATTTTTCTGTGGGTAAGATAAATACATAATTGAGTCTGATTTGGCAGAACCTAGCAAAACAAATCATTCTGTCGTTGGCACTTGCCTTCTGGAATTTTCCCAATATTTTTGAAAGTGTCTGAGACCTTCAAGAAGTCAACTCAGCAGTGGCACCCCACTATTTTGTCGATACAGTAGTAGCACAGTGGTATCCACAACTGTTTGTGATTCCAAAGGTCATTCATATTTTTTTTAAGCCTTGAGTGTAATCCTATCAATTTTACAAATTTGACTTCCGTGTATCCATATACCTTCACATGTTTGAGAACACAGGTAAAAAGCCAAGAGACACACACGTCAGAAGCTCCCATGTAATAATACAAGTGGTCTTTTGTCGACACACTTAAATGAACAATGGACTGAGGCCATCGTTTTTACCATTCAAACTTAGTCTTGTTTGCTTTGAGTGTTCATACTCATTCGACTTTGAATCTTCACACAGTATTATATGGTTAGATGTCCTCTCTGTGCTTTCTTTGCTCTCATACCTTGGTGGACAGAGCCTTAGAAACTTGTGGTAATGAGCATTATGAATGATGTTTTTACAAGTCTCTACATTGAGCAAAATTAACATTGACATTGAACAAAATCACCCCTATTCCAGTCCCAGCAGTTTTCTGTTCCTACCACCATCCTCTGCCACTTAATTTTTTTACTTTTTAAACTAATTTCCTCCTTTCATAATGTTTGGATAAACGTCTTTAAGATTTTTGTCCTCCTCTTCTGGACATTTCCCACATAGAATATTCATCAGTGGTGGTGGTTCAATGATGCTGTCATTGTTCTCATGGTCTTTTGTTTTCTAGTCTTCATAGAGAATTTGTTAATAAGGTGATCAGCATTCAGCAGTAATAAAGAAGGCCAGTGTATCGCAAATTTATTAACATTACAGTGCCTAAATTTTCCCTACACACAAAACTGGCATTTGTTTCTCTGATTTTAATTTGAAGGACAAAATAAGCCATGGATGAAATCAGCTTTATATGCAAAACAAGCCCTGAATGAGTGACCAGTGGGGTATGGTAAAGTAGGAAGCATTTTTTTTTCAGAAAGATTTTTATTTCACTAAATTCAGCGTGAAATTTCAAAACATTTGGCAATGATGTTTGTTCTGTAGTTTTGTTGTTTGCAATTTCATTTTTACTTTTATATGCATCTAATAATGCTTTTGATAGATCTACTTTATACACAACACGTTCGTTAAAATAGACTGCAGGTTCCGATGGCCTTTGCTTTCTACCACCTGCATTGTATTGACTGAAGTCTGAACAATTCTAGACTTCTGGCATAGGAGCTGCCAATTGAAATGCTGATTTTGGAACATTGGATGCAATTGTAATTTGACTTGTGACACAGTTTTTTTTCGGCACACACAAATATCAAAGTTATGTTTAGTTGGTTGATTGCATTGTCTTGCCCCTCTAAGCTATTTCTTGTTAGTTGTCCCCCACTTTGCGGTACTAGAACAGAGCAGATTAAAACATCTGCTTAGGTGTATCCCAGTGCTCAGGGTAAGAGCAGGATTAAAGATAGGGCCCATCTTTTGACTTCCAAAACATTTTTATTTCTATTCACAAGATAAGCCCTGCTGTCAGCAATGATGACCTTATAGAATTAATAAAATATTTTCCCTAGAAACATACTTAATAATTCTTCATATTCAATATAAATATATTTCTTCGATCCTACTTTGCAAAGTCAAGTTTACAAACAATTTGAAGAATATCTACTGATTGCCACAGTAGAGAGTTCTGGATTTGTCACAGATAGTGACTAATATGCTACTAAATTTTGCACAATACATGATATTATAGTAGTATCAAAGTCATTCTAGAGATACCAGTATTATGCTAATAGAAATTTATAAGTTTTCCTTTATTGCCCTTTTTGCCTATATCTATACCTTATTTTAAAAGAAACATTCAATTGTTTCCTAAATAACTGCCATCATTTAAATTAAGGGCATCACTCATACAATGTTGTAAGAAGCTGAAGATATGTTAAGGAAAGTACTAGCATGAGTTCTACCAGGCAAAACTAGAAACTTAACAGGATGCTCACAACAATGTAATTAAAACTTTAATGTCAGAGAACACCCTTTACCTCTCTTCTGCCTGCATTTCTAGACTTGTCCTTTTTTTCATACCCATCCAGAAAGCAACAACAAACTCCCAAAATCATCCATAATGAGATAAGTCTCAGGAAGACGGGTGGCGACTGTTTGGAATTCATTTCGGCAAAGTTCAAAAACAGTATTCTGCACTAGATACGTGTTTGCCTCAGTCATTGGGGACATCCGCCATAGGGTCCACTGTAGTAAAAGTGTTGATAAACCAACACGGCCCAGGAGATTATCGAGTGCATATGAGAAACCTTCACACCTCCCCAGACAGGTGTGTGGGGGTTGTACTCAGCCAGACGGATGCCATGTAACCAACTGCCAACATTGTGATGGGGAACAGCCTCGGTAACTGCAGCATTACCTTTCCTGGTCATGATAAAGTCAATTATCATAATTTAGTCAGCAGTGTTGTAGCATCATTTCTATGTTGGAGGTGAAATTAGCAGGATCTTCCCAAATAGTCATTAAAACTGTCACTTGACTTGAAGAGTTCTTGTATAATGTGTTAATGAATTATTTTCTAAGTTGAAAAATTCTCCATTTGTGAAGGAAATTTTGAAAAATTGTTACAACTTCTATGCTTTGGATAAATGTTTTCTTATCATAGTTTTAAATCGGAGCTAAGATTGTTGAGGGGAAAAGTTAGACATAACTTGTTATTAATAAGACATATATAAAGTATACTATAACCATACTTTTTGAAAAAATTCCTGAAGAGATTGGGCATCAAAGTTAATCTGTAAAATTATAAATTATGCTGTAAGCTCTACTTCTAAGATTTCCAAGTGCAACATAATGTGTTTTGTTCTCTATGTATCTTGATGACCACTGAGCAAACCACCACATGATCACATAAATATGGGTATTCCCAGCTGTGCATAGCAGCACTTGTTTTTGATCCCAGCTCTCAGGAGGCAGAGCCAGGTGAATCTCTGAGTTTGAAGACAGCCTGGTCTACAGAGCACGATCCAGCTATATTCCCTATGATAGTGAAGTAAAGATTAAGGTAGCCTTGCTTGACACCTAAGAGGATTCAGTCAATTCTTTCTACGTGATCTAGGTCATGGCCATACCTGCCACACCTTTTGAAAGTAAAGTATAAAATAATCAGTATGGATGCTTGTCAAAGTTTAGAAATATAAGATGATAAACTGCTCTTCTGTTGCCTTCCTCAAGTGACTATAATTTGAGTCAATCTTTGTGTATATTTCTGGAAATGTTTGTAGATATAGCAATCCCTAATTAAGGAAATACACGTATAAAAGTGACTCCCAAATGAAAGATAACTGGTGTCTTCATAGAAATTCATATTTTATTTTAGTTAAATATTATGTAGCTTTATTTAAATCAAGAATACATTGTTTGGGTGATGAGCTCATTTTTAAGAGAATTTTCCTGAGTACTAGAGTCTTGCCCTGATGTGGTGTCATATGGGCATAAAGGTTTCAGAAAAGGACCTGGTAGAATTTCTCTGTTTCGCTGTTTAACAGGTTTGAAAGAAATGTCTAATTCTTCTGTGAGAATGTGTTTTGCTTGCTGTTTCAAATATATTTCCAAGGTAGACTATGAACTCCTTGTAGACAAGGATGTTTCTAGAATAACAACATTTATGCCCGGCATAGGGCCAAGCATAGAATAATTCCTCATGGAAATGAATGAATGGAATGGATGGACCTAGATTTTCAAGAGTCCCACAGTATTCTATGATGTGGCCTGAGGGAGATTTTCTGACTAGTTTCAAACAATAAGATGGGAAACGCCTTGGAGTCTTTTGCCTACTCAAAATTGATAGTCTGTTTTGAGGGATTCATTTTCATTTCCTTAGTCCAACTGTCTATGCAAGTATTGAGACATGCAAAAGGTAAACTTGTTGGTACTTATCAATTAGTTTTATTTTCTTTATAAGGTCATAAATGCTCTATTTAGGCTTCCTGGAAATATTGACAATCATTTTAATTACTAAAGGTGCTACTTATTTTCCTACATTGACCTTGATCATGAATGCTCCTGTCGGCTGAATTTTGTGTTTTCTTTCTTTTTTTTTAGGGGTGGGAAGAGGTGCAATAAAATTAGATTATCTTTTTGTGTGAATTATGCAACTTAGGAAAGTCTGTATCTATTTGTACTCTATTGTTACTGTATTTTAATTATTACTGCTCATGAATTTTATTGCAGGTATGTGCTATTTATTAGAAATTACATGCGTATATATTTCTATAGTATGTAAGAACAACCTGTATTGCTCCTTAAAGTTAAAATTAATGTTCATGTTGAATTTTTGAAATGAAACCTGTAACTGCTTTTTCTCAAGAACCATTAAATGCTATGCTATTCTATGCTGATCAAAACAATGTCCAACTCCAGCCCACATGTAAGGACACTCTTTTGTCTGGATGTATATAACTGATCATTGGCAATGGAAAGATTAATGTCAACATGAAAAATACAAACCATTTCTGATGGCTGAAAAGACTGTGTACAGTTTGTTTTTCATACGACTTGTTTGAATGGATTCACACGGAGTGAGCATAAATATTTCAAAAGATTATTGTCTGCGCTGTAGAAGCTCTTTCCCTTGACTTGACTTTACAATGATCTCTATTTTTTGAACACTTTTAGAATAGTAGCAATATTAAGAGGAAAGGAATAAGATGTCCCACATACTACTTCCCAAGACCCCTTAAGTAGTATCAACCCCCACCAGAATGGGATCTACATTAGCAAACCTTCACTAACATTTTTACCTAAAGCCCTTAGTTTATGGGCAAGAATTCACCCTCAGTATTGAGCATTCTAGAATTTTGAACAAAATAGTGTGTGGATATATCGTCTTTTTGATGACTTTTTTTTTGTGGGAGACATGAACAAGCACATAAGACACCATAAGAAACCAAAGAAATGATTCTGCCCATATTTAGCCAGATGCACCAATAAGTTAAACGTAGGTACTTAATGGGGACATTTGTGAATGATTTTTTTATGGGAGTGTGGATGGAAGCTTGTCCATTCACATGTTTGTGACTTTATAACAGTTGATGCATCTATTTCTCCTTTCCACTCATGTTTTGGTTCTTATAGATGGTACCGTTATTCGCCTCACAAATTAAGTGGTCTTTCCTATTGGAAAACTGACTTTTTTTTTTTTTTATGTAGCTCACCTTCTTTTAGGCCTGATTGCTTTTCTTAATGTGAAATCCATTCTGTTTGAGATTAAGTTTCTCCCTCTTTCATTTGATTAGCATTTACATGGTGTGTCTTTCTTTGCTCACTTATTTTTAACCTACATGAACTAAAAGAGGATTTCTATAGGCTGTATATCTTTTGGTGTTTTCTTTTAATGACACCTGTCAATCTCTCACTTTGTGCATCGAGACAATTAGTACTCAGAGTGGTTACTAATGTAGTTAAAATCAATTATATCTCCTACTATTTTCCTACTTATGGCCTTTGATTTTTTGTTTTGTTTAGTTTTTGTTTTTTGAGACGGTTTTTCTGTATAAGAGTACTGGCTGTTCTGGAACTCACTCTGTAGACCAGGCTGGCTTCAAACTTATAGAAATCCCCCTGCCTCTGCCTCCCTAGTGCTGGGATCGAAGCTGTGTGCCACTGCCACCCAGGTGTTTCTTTGCTGTTGCATTTAAATTCCACTCTTTCCTGTCTTTTATCATGGTTCAAGTTGAGTATTGTATAGGATTGCAGCTTGTCGTCTTCTGGTTTTTTTTTTTTGCATAAAAAATACACTGACGCTATTATCATTTCCCACTATTATCTGTTAGGTAAACTAAGAATGGGGAATATGTTTCCACTTTGCATTCACTCATTCCTATTCTTCTCTTTCCATAGCTCTAAGTTTCCAACCCATGTCATTTTTCTTTTTTCAAAAGAACTTTTGCTCTAACATCTTTTTAAAGTAGGATTTTTTTTTCTGGCAACAAATTCCCTCAGATTTTGTTTGTGTTTAATTTGTTTTCTCTTTTGAAGTTAATTTGGGGAATATAAAACTTTAAATTGGTGGGCTTTTTAAAATACGCTAAGTCCTTTCTCCTTATATTTAAAGGTTGAGAAGTTAGATGTAGTTCTTTTCCATGTTCCTCTACAGGTAAAATTCTTTACCAGTTTAGCTTCTAGCATCTTTTAGTTTTCAGTAGTTGGAAAATTATATGCAATATGTAGCTTTCTCTGATATATGCTCTATTTTTCTGTCCTTCACGATTTTCAGTCTGTTTTTCAGTGTATGATAAGTTGTGTGGTGATATATTGTGTCCCCCAATATATTGTGAACCCCAATAAAACTCATCTGGGGTCAGAGAACAGAATAGCTACTAGATTAGACATAGAGGCCGGACAATGGTGGCACACACCCTTAATCCTAGCATTCCAGAGCTCAAGGCCACACTGGAAAGAGAGTCAGGCATGGTGGCACACACCTTTAATCCCAGGACTTGAGATCTTATGTCTTTTTTGGGAAAGACACACGCCTTTAATCCCAGGAAGTGATAGAAGGAAGCAGAAAGGTTTATAAGGCATGAGGATGAGGAACTAGAAGCCTTTAAGCTTTTAGGCTTTTAGGCTGAGATTCATTCAGGTGAGAACTCAGGGGCTTTCAACCTGAGAAAACAACATCAGCTGAGGAGTTGGTGAGGCGAGGCTGCCTGTGGTTTCTTCTGTTTCTCTGATCTTTCAGCATTCACCCCAATATCTGGCTCCAGGTTTTTATTAATAAGGCCTTACAAATTTGTCTTACAAAGTTGGACAAATGTGTATTTTTATACCTTTGTAGCTGTCACAGAGTCTTCCATACTTTGTTATGACTTGTTTCACTTCAGTCATTTTTCTCTTTGCTTTTCAGTATTTTGAAGTTTCCATGATGATGCCCTCAAGCCTAGTTTCTCCATGCAGGGGTATCTAGTAGACCAAGAAGCCTGTCAAAGGAAGACATTCTTTACTTCTGTCACAGGAATTTTGATCTCTCACATTCCTTTTTGCTCGTACAATTTCATCCCTCTGTTTACATTGCCCATCTGCTCACTCATGATGTTTATCCACTAAGGCCCTTAGCATATTAATCATTGTGGTTGAAAATTTTCCAATCTTGCCATTCTAATATCCTGGTATATGCCATGAGTCTGGCTTGGATGCTTGCTCTTAAAATTCCAAAGTGGCTATTTTTGGTTGTTTGTTTGCTAGTATTTTATTTCTTTGTAAGGGTTGAGGGTCTTTTTGTTTGTTTTGATTTTAGTGTATAGCGGATTTTATTTATTTTTTTGAGCCTTTTACTATCTTACAGGTTTTTTTTTTATTTGCTTGTTTTTGATAGCTAAGCATAATGCATGGGTAAAAGGCATTGTTGTAAATGGTACCGTAGTCAGGTATAAAACTATTTTATAGCCCCCTCATTAAGTCCCAGTGTTTTAAGGAAGCCTGAACTTTTGGGTTTTAACCTTTGCACATTAAATCTCACCCCACACCCCCTTTAGGTGGGACAGGATGTCAGCTTAGTCTAGATGGGGTTTCTCCATTGTCCTAGTCCACAATTTCACAGCTTCTGTGAGGCAGACCTTGTTAAGAGCAGAATGCTTGATGTATTTCAAAAGGATTCCTCTCCTGTTGCTGCTAGAATCTTGAGAGAATTTTTCCCTGGCATTTTGCTATGATAGAGTTCCTGGAGGTAACTCATTTACCAGCTAATGTAGTGGCATCCATTGGTGAGTCCTTCCTGACATGGTGGCTCTCTGCATCTGCTTTTTCTCTCTCTGTTGGGTGGGACAACAGTTTGTTCTTGACCTTGCTTCTCTTAGAATCTAAAAAGGAGCTACTGGTTTGTCAGTCTGTCTGGTAAGTGAGGCTTCTTTGCTTCTATGTGCTTGGAAATCTACCCCCACTTTAATATCTGAATAATCTTTAAATTGGGTCTCATCTTGTAATGATATTTAAAACTTAGTGATAATATTCAATGTTTTCACTGTTGTGAACTTTTAGCAGCATACTGACCTTTTTAAAGATGGTGGTGTAAACTATATTTTGTCACAATAAGAAATGACTCTGGGAGTCTTCAGCATGAACATTTTTGATCATGTCATTCAGGACTTTTTATAATTATATGCCATGGGGCATTGATCTGCAGTTTGTGCCAGTGTTGCATATTAACTAAACTATCCTGATGTAGTCTTATCCAGTGCTAATTAGTGATATCAATTATTAGGCATCACTTATTTTATGATTACAGTGCTTGGAAAATATTTTTTAAGAAAATATTTGTATAAAAAGGAGCTTGAGAAATAGTAGGTACCATAAGTTTGTATTTTCTTTCAGAAAAAGAATCATCATGAGTATAGAAAGTATTTTCAGTATAAACTACTTGTAATGCTACTGCACTTTAAATTATATATATATATATAATATATAAATAACTGCTATATATAAGCATGTATATGTGAACTATTATTTTTTATTAATTTTGAATATCATTTTACCTCAAGAAGACATGAACCCACTTTGATAGGTTAAAAATTAATAGGTAGTTCCTTAATATTGTATTAGTACTTTAATATAAATCATCACTTTCCAATAAAGGATTTAGCAAGGAATGCATGATTATAAATAAACAAGGTGTATGATACAGTGCTGTCTACATCAACATATTTGAATCCCCAACTCATTATCGCATCAATTAAGAATAATCTAGAAACACCAAAAAGTCTGTCATGTAGTCACATGACATAGTTGTCACAACTGGGATTCACCTCAGCAGTGCCTGCCCTCGCAGAACTGGGCCATCCACACACCATCACGGGTACCTGAGGAGCTGTAGGCAGTCAATGGTAATCTAACTGCTGGTACATTGTCAAGTCAAAAGCTCCCCACCATGTTCATAAAGGAAACGTAATTATATGCAGTAGGCTGTATACAAAGAAATGAAAGGGGTATAGTGATATGGGAAGAAGTGATTCAGTGGGCAAAGAAGAAGGGGATAGATGAAAATTTGGAGGGAAGACTTTGATTAAAGAATATGCCACTGGTGTCCCCCAGGATGTCCCCCTATAGAACTACAATGCTTGTGAGTTGGTAAAGGGTTCTTGATCCATATGAACGATGACTTATATAGCAGAAGCCTCTCCACTGTGTGTGGTCAGCACCTCACCCTAGCACTAGACTGGACAGTGAGAAGTTGTACCACCAGGATCTCCATGCAGAAGAAGCTCATAAAATGAGATGTGGAGCGTGCAGACTCTAGCAAGACCAGTTATCTACTTACACTACTTCAGAATTCAGCATTCTGACTTCTGGGAATACTTGGGAGCATATGCCACACCTCTTACTTAGAAGCACACTATGATGCCAGGCAGGGGTGGCACACGCCTTTAATGCTAGCACTCCAGAGGCAGAGGCAGGCAGATCTCTCTGAGCTTGAGGCCAAGGTCCAGGATGGCCATGGCTATATAAAGAGAAACCCTGCCTTAAAAGAAGTAT